CTGAACTCCAATCATCTGAATCAGGTGTATTAAAGCAGAGAAACACCTAAAACAAGCAGGGCAGTGTGCCTTGAGGAACACGGTTGAAAAACACTGAGTTCAAATTCAGGGGCTGTGTCCTAGAAGTCTAGATTTGCCAGCTGATTACGTCATAGTGTGGCTCCGAGGCCTGTTCGGATTGAAAGACTCCTCGTTATGCGGCCGAGAAATGCAGCCTTGTTTTTGCCCGTTTTGAAGGACGGGTCCGGTGTATCCTACATAGCCTCGGTTAACCCAGGATTCATTGCGAGTCCAAGCAAGCTGGCTGCTCCGTGCTCAGAGGAACCATATGAAATTAATGAAAATATATATTTTTTTATGGCTTGTGAGTCAGATATGTGGCAGATAATATTTGGCTTATTGAATTTTTAATCCTTCCGTGTGCAAATGGGTTTAGCTGATATTTAAGAAGAAATTCTAATATATCTGCAGGGTGGGAACTATAAATGCGATATTCGCAACGATGGTACTGCTGCTGAAGCTCCTCAACAATGTTATTAGCACCTAGAACAGTAGTGACAGTATCCATTCTTTGCCTGCTTTGTGGGTCAACTGTTAGGGTTGCAAGGCGACAGAGCGTTCAAGCAGTTAAAGGAAAATTTCAGGGTTTGGTTGAGGTTTCATGACCCAAATGCAGAGGCTGAGAGGCATGAATCAACACATGTAACAGAGGCAGGGATCCAAAATCCAACTTAAAATGTAAAACTTAACCAGAACCATGGAGACATCAGGGAAAGGCAAGAATATACAAGGTAAGACGAGGAACCAGTACTGAGGAACTGCACAAGGAGAGTATTTATGAGAGACTGAACAAAGAGAGGACTAACAAGCTGATTGGGAGCAGGTGTGAAGAGACCAGTATAAGGAGCAAGGGAAAAGAAGACCAACACAAGAGGGCAACAAATAAAAACCTAGGAACTCAAATATATCCAGAAAACACACTAAAAAGAAAACTTAACAGAACTAAGACTGTGTTATTTAGAAAAGTCCAGCGAGGAACAATCAATAGATCATTATCTATACCTCAAATTTTTGCCCAAATATAGTAACACCTCACTCCTGACATCTTCCAGGAGTGTATTCACGGTGTAAAGCACCATTCTCCCCGCTTTACAAGCAAAATCAATGGGAACTACTAGACACATCTGCAATCAACAACAATTATTGAAGATTTCCAGAGGACTTCACCATTGAAATTCACCAGAGCTAAAGTGAAACTGACAATGCCCACGTGCATGGCAGCTGGATGCTGGAATATTATTATTTCACCTTTCCCATTCAT